TGACCTGCTGTAGTTTAGAGTTAAAAAATTAACAGATATGGCAGGCTTTTTACTTCAATAACGTCAGGTTTCTTAGATTATGCTTTAATTTCATTTGTCTTTCTGTAAGCTTTAACTTAACCTCTCTTTCAAAAATTCTTATCTAGTGTTGTCTTCATCCTCTTTACCTGTTTATTTCATTTTTAGTCCTTTTCTCCCTATTCCCATAAATTTTATCACTACAACCTTCTACAGATTTAATTCTTTACTGCTTCCAATATTTCTTCTTTCTACGACAAAACATATCTTATTATTTTATTTGTGTACAGTATTGTCTCTCTTATTGTTGACAACACATCATATATAACTTTTCTCACTCTTGATCTGTTTTATTCTTTCTATTCTTTTATTCACCTCTGAAATTAACTTACAATATAAAGCGGGACCTTCTCGCATGGGTCTCACTGGTCGGGAATGTTGTGGTCCCCAGGGCTGACTTGATCATCATCGAACTACTGGGGCCTCAACTGACATCACCATGGTTGCTGGGGGATTGGCTTTTTTCACACTTCATTTTTCCAGCATTCGTGGCCTGAGATCCAATTTTCTTTCTGTGGAGCACCATCTATTAACCTCTTCCCCCGACCTCTTACAACTCTCTGAACTTTAACTGACCAAAGCAGCTTCACCCAAACCTTTTCAAGTCTGCAACTACATCCTTTATACCTTTCACCATTCTAAAGGAGGTGTATGCGCCTACTGCAACACACGTACACCTACAGGTATAGCTCGACTCAGGGATATTGAATCTTTTCTTTATGACGTCATCTGGCTCAAAATATCTACCAACTGTGACTATTTTCCTTTGTTTCCTATGTTGTTCTCCCAACAGTACCAACTATTTGGAACTCTTTGACTATCTCACTTCTTGCCATGAGTCGTTGCTATCCACACACCCCAACACCGAGATCCTTTACCTAGGGGATTTCAATGTACATCACAGAGAGTGGCTTGTCTCTGCAAGGGATGACCCAGGTGGAGCTGAGGCACTCTCTTTTTTCTTACATAATGATCTGGAACAAATAATCAAACACCCAACATGCGTCCCTGATCGACACAATCAACTTGCTAACATTCTTGATGTTTGTTTTACCTATAACCCCTTTGGGTCTTCTGATCACAATCTTATTTCTATTAAATCAAGTTGGGCACGATCACCTCCCCCACCCCCCTCTAAATGCCAACTATGGCACTATTGGAGGGCAAACTGGTACCCGGTAATCATTGCGAGAATTCTTCTCCGACTTTCCTGGGATGAATGTTGCTTTTCCACTCGAGACTCCTCAGTACCGTATATCACGGCCTATAAGACGAAATTTGAACATTAAAAAAATCTGCCCAAAGTTAGGGGGTCGTCTAAACCACCAAGTTTAAAATTCTTACCTCTTAAATATTGTGGTTTAGTGTGTCAAGAGTGGTGATGAAAACATCGTAAGCCACTCACAAGGTCTTACCACTAATTATTTTATACTGAAACTTACGTTTGGCAAGCTGGATTCAAATTAAGATTACCGGTATATTAAAATAATAAAAATGTATTATAAACCTGTCTAACATACCGTAAAAGAGATTTATACCCCTATAATAAACACAGCTATCATCACACACCCCTCCCCACGCCCCCCCCCCCATTTGCCAGTGAGGAGCCGTGGAGGTGGTCAGTAATGCATACCGGTATCGGTATATTTACTCATAATAATATTTATCTCCTATAAATAATTGATTTAAATTTTATTTTTTTCCAAAGAATATTCAGTAAATGAGTGCATTAATTCTTGAAACTATCGACGGTTAATTACAGACGCTCAAGTGACGTCACTAGTGTTTACACTACACCAGCTGGTAATATTTGATGCCATTACTTGAAGTGAATTGGCCTTATTTTAAGTAACTAACTATAAATAAATACAAAAATTAAAAAAAAAGATCAAAACTGAGAAATAATATACTGTATGTATGTTGTGTTGTCAAAGTAAGAGGAACAATTGTGTAAGTACGTAATATTTTTTCACTCAAATCCTAATGAAACACTACTGGAGAACATTCCTTTGTCGCAAAACAGTTTATAAATTAAAGAAAATAATTACAGTGTGTTTAATATATTACAGTATATTATAAATAAATAAATAAAACAAATAATTCGGTAAATCTATTTAAAGTAAATGGAAAATAAGCAAACATGTTATTTACCAAGACCCTTCCGTCTGGCTCAGGGTGAGATGTAGGGGAGATAAAGAAGGCTATTTATAGCCCATCAGAAGTGACCAGTACCCTAATGCACCATAAATAATTCATTGAACATTCATTTTTTGTACATAGTATATTCAGTATATATATATATATATATATATATATATATATATATATATATATATATATATATATATATATATATATATATATATATATATATATATATATATATATATATATATATATATATATATATATATATATATATATATATATATATATATATGTGTAATAAATGTATGTAGTAAGTACATACTGGTAACCTTTTTCACTCAAATCCTAATGAAACACCACAATTAGAATACGGTGGTTGCTGTTGAACCACATGTTGTATAAATAGTCACACCACCGAGACGAGGGAACACTCCCACCACGCTTCAGTGACGTCACTAGTGTTTACACTACACCAGCGGGTATAATTTGATGACATTACTTGAAGTGAATTGGCCTTATTTTAAAAAATCAAGGATGGTTGGTAAAGGACTACTGAGTCAGTGGGTAAGTGTCACATTTGGGGTACTGGTCTTATACAGCAAATAGAGCTCAAAAGCTACTTTTTAAATGGAAATTTGGGGGGGGCGTCTTATGCACCCCGCCGCCTTATAGGCCGTGATATACGGTATGTGCTGACAGCATTGCTGGGGCTATACTTAGTGGTATGAGTGCATTTATCCCATCTTCTACACTTATGGCTTGATTGCTCCTGCTCTCTTGCATGTAGGGAGAGAGATAGGGCGTATCAAGTTATGAAACTATCTCCTTCTCCTTTTACCCACTCCTCTTTCATTACTTCTAGGAATCGTTGTAAGGTTATTCTTTGCAGGGCCAAGCGAAATTTTATAAACAGAAAGACCTCTGATCTTAATAATTCTTCTTCTAGTAAATCATTCTGATCCTTAACCAAAAACATCTGTAATAACTTCTGCACTCCCTCTTTTTCTACTCTACTCTGACCTGATAACTCTATAGCTAACTCTCCCCCTGATAAAGCCAATCTCTTTGGCACCCTATTCTCCTCTAACTTCACCTTAGACGATTCTAACTCTACCCCTCCTACTGAACCTATGCACTTTCCTATAATCTCCATTTGGAGGGTTGCTGGTGTGTTACCCAGGCTGGATGTGAGTAAGGCACATGGACCGGACGGAATACCCCCTCGTGTTCCGAGGAAGTGTGCTGAAATTCTGGCCTCTGCTTGCTCGCCTCTTTGGCTTTTGCCTCAAAACCCCAAACTTTTCTTTCTTCTTGGAAGCATGCCTTGGTTCAGCCCATTCCAAAGAAGGGGTGACCATTCTAATCCCTCTAACTAATGCCCTATTGCCCTCACTTCATCCCTCTCTAAGATTTTCGAAAATATATGTATCATAAACTCTCATTTTCTCCGTCACCTTGAACGCCTTTCTCTTTTGTCAGATCACTAATATGGCTTTTGCCAGGTTAGATCTACTGGTGATCTGCTCTCCTAATACTCCCATCTTTGGTCATCCTCTCTTAGGGATTATGGGAAACTTTCGTCATGGCTATCGACATCTTCAAAGCATTTAACAGGCTATGGCACAAATCCTTGCACTCTAAACTTTCTTTATATGGGTTCTCTCCTCTACTTTGTTCTTTAATTTAGAGCTTCCTTGAGAATCTATCCATGACAGTTGTTGTTGAGGGATCGATCTCTCGCTCTTTCTGTGGTGTCCCACAGGGTTCTGTTCTTTCACCTACTCTCTTCCTTCTTTTTATCAATGATTTACTTCACACTACGACTACTTCTATCCATTCTTACACTGATGATTTCACTCTTCACATTTCCCCTCCCCCTAACTCTCAAACTAGATCTGTTTCTAGAGCTGATATCATTTCATCTATCAATGCGGATCTGTGTAACATCTCCGATTGGTGAGGTAGAAACTTGGTTAAATTCAATGGTAATAAAACACAGTATCTACGAATTACACTTTCCAAAATAGAAGATCCCCTACCAATCACATTTCAGGATGCAATCATTCTGCCAAATTGTAAAATAGATTTACTAGGCCTCACCATTTCATCTAAAATGTCATGAAAGCTACACTTCCACAACTTTGCTACTTCACTCCTGAGCAATTGCTGCAGGTTTTTTAGGGATTCATTCATCCAAACTTGGAGTACTACTCTCATATCTGGGGTGACTCTTCTTCTGTCCAACTATTAGATAGGGTGGAATCAAAGGCATATCGTCTTATTAACTCTCCTCCTTTAGTTGATAATCTCTCTTCCCTTTCTCTTCGCCGCAACGTTGCTTCACTCTCTCTTTTACAGGTACTTTTACGGGCAATCTTCGGTGGATTTGACATCCTGTGTACCGCCGGCAAGGCCATGGGCTCGTAACACATGTCTTGCCCGCGGTGCCCACTGTTTATTTGTGGGTGTCGGTCACACTAGAATGACCCGTTATAGTACATCCTTCTTTCCTCACACAGCTAAACTGTGGAAGGCTCTGCCTTCTTCTGTGTTTCCACACTCATGCAATCTGTCTCACTTCTAAAAGCTGGTTTTCCAACATCTTCGTGTTGTAGATTTATATAATCTTTTTCTCATCTATTTTTAATATCTATTTCTTCTTATTCCTCCCTCCCCCAGGCCCCGTTGTGGTGTTGATGACTTGTGCATGGGTGGTCTATTCCCCGAAAAAAAAAAAAAAAAATTTACGTATAATTTTTTTTTAATATTTACAGAATATTGTTTCTTAAAACATCAGCAAGGAACTTGTAGAGACTTACAAGCTTATTGGCATTATGCTAGTGAAGATGGTGTCTGCAAACAGTTCTTATATGGAGGCTGTGAAGGGAACGAAAACCGTTTCTCAACACGACAGGAATGTGAAGGAAAATGTAGTGAAGCTCAAGGTAAGAACATCTAAAGTTTGAGCTTAGACTTACCATGCACTTGGTAAACCACATTATATATAAAGGTGGCAAAGCATTTATTGGTCTTAGAAAGTGCTTAACAATGTGTAACAGTATTTTGCATATTATAATTATTTTTCCACCATAGTATTTGTATTACTGTAGATATGAAAATTAATTTGTTTTCTGGTGTTTTTTAACATCAAAGCACAATAGTACTGTACATCACAATTATAGTTCTACTATTATTCTTAAATAAACATCCTGTAGAGAAATGGATTTGGTGTCTTCTTTCACTGGTAGGTTACACAGATGGATACGTATACTTACTTTAATGTGTAGCTCTACTCTTTGCTTTGAAAATGTTCTCACACTTCAGGACCCTCACACACCCTCAGTTTAAAGCCAAACTGACTCATTTTTTCAAATAATTTTCATGCAACAAGTGAGGGAATGCAGACAAGGGTAACAATAGAGTGAATAAATGTACAGTAAATATATACAGGGTCATTGTAAAATAATGCCCAGGGTTTGAGTGGTTACATTTCATGAAATAATTGACTTACCATGGTGATGTTTTCTTTACTAATGTAAAAAAAATACTTACAGTTTCTGTTCCTTAATTTTATGGTGCTTATGTTACCTTTGGTGGCAGTGATGACAGCTGTGCCAGAAATCTTTGCTCATGTCCTCTTTTGCCTCCTTACACTGGCAACTGCTCAAGAGGAAGCACAACACATGGTTTCATTTGCTAAATGCAAATCATTCGAGCTGATGCAAAGTAATTTTTGTCAGGAAAACAACTGTTGCTCAAGACATACTGAATAGACGAGTTGTTGGTCGGAATTTTTTCGTAAGGTGGCAGGTCAATGGGTAAAGAAAACGCTTAAATTTACTATGGTAATGATATTTTAAAATAAATTGGGCCAAAAAGTGTAAAAAAAAATAAGGGCCAAAAAGTGTAAAAAAAAATGAGGGTTAAAGTCGCTAAAAACTCACGTGACTGCGAAAAGCTCTGTGATTGGTCGTGAAGTCACAGGTTGGTTTGAGCCACATAGCAGGAGCCTGGAGGCAGCCAGCTGTGGTTATGTGTTTACCAGCAGAAATACAGGACTTGTTGTCATATACAATGTTGATATATACAGTCATACCTTATTTTTAGGTTAAAATAAGTTACTGCTCAAGTATCATCGTGTGTATTTACTTGCTGGGTGCCAAAATGATGCAAAAGACCGATAACTCCAACAGGGAAGTTTTCATCACTGTTCTCTATTTCATGTCTGGAAAATGTAAGTTTTCGTCACAGATGTCTATATTTAATGTTGTGGAAGGACTAGTGACGACCATGGCCAGGGGATGGGCTTGAGATGATCAGATGACAGATGTAATTTAACATGCTTCATAGTTGGATGGCAGAGTTCTTGATAATACTCCACAATCATAAACACATCTACTTTGGTAAATTTCTTTCATCTGCCTTGATGAACCCTGGGAGTAGTTGTCTAACCTTCTCGGCTGATCGGCTCTGTAAATAAATATTATTAGATAATTAATTGTGCTTTACTGTGCAACACAGTAATGCTATATTGAATATATAAATATTACTAAGCACATTAACTAATTCAATGGATATTAGCTGCCCATACTACAAATTTCATAGTATAAACATTCCAAACAATATTGGTATGGTTTAGGTTTTGGTCATCTGAGGAACCTTAAGATTCTAACTATGGGATTAAGTACTTTAAACAGTAAGACACATTATCTCTACTGGATTTCTGTCACAAAACATTTTTCGATCGCAGAAGAAAATACAGGTCATATGTTAGGTTAGGGTAGGTTAGATTCGGTTAGGTTAGGGTATGATGAGTTATAAGTTGTAAGGTTAGCTTAACATACACCGGTAAGGGGGGGGTGGGGTAGTAACTCAAAACTAGTGATTTCCGATAGAAATGAATGTCAAAATCGTTCACAACGCTTCGCAAACCATCAGAAAAAATATAGTCTGCATGTCTAGGTAGAGGGATGACCAACACTTAAAATTTACTCAATATAGCCTATCTCGAATCTAAACTTCCAAATACTTATGGGAGTTAAAAATTTTTTTTACCTATTAATTAATATAAATAATGATATATCCCAATGCATTCTTAAAACAACGTCCAGACAATGTCATTACTTCTAAATTGATTTGTATCTCCATCTAGTACTGATATACTCTGTAAATGTACTAGAAAAAAAGAGAAAGTCTACCAGGTAAGAATACATGACAGCTGAGCTGGTGTGAACATGATAGTTTCTTATGTCCATAAGCTGCTCTTCACAGCACATTTCTTCACTTACGAAATGTCCATGACTTAGACCATAAAAAAAAACACCCTTAAAACTTACCTGAACGTGGCATTTGGGGTCTGAAGAGGCCAACCTTTGTATTACCTCCGACTGCAGCAGTGAGTTTGTTGGAGAATGTCGTCTGTAGGCAAACTAGTGACGTCATTACAAATGGTGGTTCTGTTTCTAGAGAAATAAACTTATCTCTATTATTATAGCGGGGCTTTAAACTTATATTACAAATTATATATACCGTATCACTCTACGAATGTAGTAGAGTGTATTTCTTGTGTTTACTCAGAACCGACAGCTCGTCTATTGAGTGTGGAGAGAAATTTAATATTGCCTGGATATTTGCCAATTTTTTTATTTTTTGCTAGATAAAACAAAACACATCCTTTATAAGTAAGTTACTGCATGAAATATAACCATTTAAATTCTGAACATTCTTTTTCAATCACCCTGTATATACAGTACAGTAGTTCTTGAATATAATGGACAGTCAATCAATTACAGTATTAGAAATATGGTGGTGCTGTACAGTAGACCCTTGCCATTCGCGAGGGATAGGTTCTAAGAAATGGTGCAAATTGGCAAAACTGCGAATAGCAACTTATACTGTACTACCTTAGTGCACTACTGTATACGTATGTCAAACAACTGACCAGCCACAGCAGCAGCACTCGTCCCCTCTTTTAACTTATCTAATAATAAAACTTTCTTTGTCAGGATCATCACTGACTTCTGCCTTATACATTTCACTCCACTAGCATTACTAGTACTGACACTAGGCAGTCTTTTAGGGGCCATTTCACACAGAAACACTAAAGTTTTGAGTGTACAACATGAGGTGCTGTGTGGGGGTGACTCATTGTGCTGCGGAAAAGACTTGCAAGCTAGCCACCATCTGCTTACCACGAATTGTCGAATTCGCGAATCGCAAACTCGCAAATGGCAAGGGTCTATTGTATAGGGGATCTTCCTGAAAATTATATTTGTTTATTATACTGACATTTTAATGGTCCTGTATACTGTACAATATATTTTTTATGACCAACTATACCTATAAATGCACGGGACAGAAAACATAATAAGAAATAAAATAATGGTGTATAGCGGTTAACTGTAGAAATTTATTGAGAGATGTTAAGTGCATTGAATCTGAAATATCATATATTTTGTACAATTCTTTCATAATGTTAATATCTTTAATCTTTCTTTGTCCATGTAAATGTGACAGACTGTATATTGATTTTACAGTTTGAAGTTGGCCAAAAAATAAAAAATAAAAATCAGTGTGAGGAAAGGTCTGCCATTTAATATATATATTTTTTCAGTTTAATTTGTTTTATTCTTTACACCACCAATCAGAAAAATTAATCAACTTGTTTTTATTCCAGATGTTTGCGGCCTTCCCATGGTTGTCGGTCCGTGCAATGGAAGTTACAAACAGTACTATTATGAAGTGTCCACAGATGAATGTTATGAATTTGATTTTGGAGGGTGCCTAGGAAACAAAAACAGGTATTTAATTGTTGTTTTACAGTTACTTTGTAGAATACAGTGATACCTCGATTTACGCGGTTCTCGTTTACACGTTTGGTCATATACGCGGTACCTTGCCAGAACCGGGATGCCCGATTTACGCGGTGAATTTACTCATTTACGCGGGTGAAGTATACTGTAATTTGTTTATTTGTTGAAGATATTTGTTTTAGCTCATAAAATTCATACAAATTACCAGGCCAGAATATAATTTACATTGCTGGAATTCTTACAAGATGGTGATCATTTTAAATATAAACATCTTAACATTTGCATTAGACATACAAATTTTACATGTTATTTAAGGAGATCATGAAAATAAACAAATATTTTATCTTTTGTGCAAATTATATGATGTTTACATTCAAAATATTCCCTGACCTGCAAGGAATCCAGAAATGTCAATTATATTATCCTAACTTTAGTCTGAGCTATTATTTATTACTAAAAATATAAATACAGGTTGTACTTCTCTAGTCCGGCATTCTGTGGTCCGGAAACTCCCGTGGTCCGGAACGATTTTAGTTTGTCCAATAGGTAGATAAGCAGCTTTTTTTTTTTTTTTTTTTTTTTTTTTTTTTTTTTTTTTTTTTTTTTACTTATCTGAATTATTATTATTATTACAGGAGTATTAAATTTTTGCCCCTCAGGCCCCAATGTGGGTCAGTGACCTATGCCCGGGTGGGCTAATCCCCTTAAAAAAAAAACAAAGCCGCGGGAAATTAAGGTTTGTTTACATCCGGCAGTTCGGCTGCTCTCTCTCTCTCTCTGCTTGTCTATACAGAGTACAACATTTAACCCTTCAATATATATGAGCAGTAAATAAGTGTTGCTTTCATATTCTTATGTAGAGTAATGACGATATGTTTTCACATGTGCGCACTTACATACGCGCAGTCTCACTTTTTTTTTACCATTAATGGTTAGCTACTTATATTGTTCCATTTATTAACATTAAATAACATTACAGGTACTTCAAACAACCATATTAATTTTTTTACATTAATTTTACTACAGCTACAATCAGGGTCTTATTTTCTTCAGTTTTATATGTAGAACCAGTCAGTCACTGGTTTTGTAAGCTTTACATAAACAATGCCGGCAGCCGTCTCGTCTCATCGTGTGTTTTAATATTCCACGTATTATTAATAAATTGTATTGCTAATTTTGCACACAAACATAATTCAGTAAAAACAAATTCAGAAACATTAATTAAAATATATATGAACAGTAAATAAGTGTTGCTTTCATATTCTTATGTAAAGTAATGACGATATGTTTTCACGTGTGCGCACTTACATACGTGATCTCTCTTTTTTCTTTACCATTATCGTTAGCTACTTCTATTGTTCTATTTATTTACATTAAATAACATTACTTAAAACCACCATATTAATTTTACTACAGCTACAACCAAGGTCTTATTTTCTTCAGTTTTATATGTAGAACCAGTCAGTCACTGGTTTTGTAATCAACGAAAACAATGCTGTGTCATTTCCTAGTATGTTTTAATATTCTACGTATTATTAATGAATTATATTGCTCATTTTGCACACATAAACATTAATTCAATAAAAAAAGACATTCAGTAATAAACAATAATGAATCTTTTGTACATAAGAGAAATGATGTTGTTTACACGATTATGCACGTCGTCTGCACGTTGGCGGGCCGTTCAAACCCGTCGAAATTCAAGTTTCCGCCGTCAAAATTTTTATTTATTTTTTTTTGTGTTCCAATAAAATACGTTGACTTAAAAACTCGCGAAATTTGAGAAGCCACTATACGACATTTAACCCTTCAATATGTCTTCAAAGAGACCATGATGCAGAGAAAGTGGTGCTGGTGCTTTCAAGCATAAGCACAAGTCACTATCTATCCAGGAAAAGGGTGAATTTCCATGGTCCGGCAATTTCCATGGCCCTGCACCGGTCAGGTCCTGAGGTTGCCGACTAGAGAGGTACAACCTGTATACTGTTTTCTCCCAAACATTTCTCTGGTAGGGAGGGAAGGTGGGGGGTTGGGGGTAGGGAGGGAGGGAGGGAGGGACCCAGCGAGCGTGGGAAGAGGGGGGGAGCGTGAGGTGGGTATTTTGATTGACAGATTGTGTCTGGGTGAAGATATTTGTTTGTTTTATCACATAAAATTCATACAAATTACCCGGCCAGAATATAATTTACATTGCTGGAATTGCTACAAGATGGTGCTCGTTTTAAATATAAACATCTTAACATTTGCATTAGACATACAAATTTTAGATGTAATTTATGGAGATCATGAAAATAAGTAAATATATTATCTTTTGTGCAAAATACAGGTTCACAATCCCTTATCCAAAATCCTTGGGGCCAGAGGCATTTCAGATTTCAGAATTTTTTCGGTTTTCAGATTTTTTTTTTTTTTTTAAGGGGATTAGACCACCCGGGCACAAGTCACTGACCCACATTGTGGCCTGGGGGGGGGGTGAAAATATAATAATAATTTTAATAATAATACTAATAATTCATAGGTCAGGTCATGTTTCTCACTCTTAATCTTTTTTCATTCTTGTATTTCTTTGTTTTTATTATTATTATTATTATTATTATTATTATTATATTAATATAGTATTATTGTTATTATTATTATAAATTTTATTATATTTTATTATTATTATTATTGTTATCATTATTATATTATTTTGGTGTATTTTTTAATTAAAATTTTTATTTACTATGAATAATTATTATTATTATAATTATTATTATTATAATTAGTATTACTATTACATTTTCGCCCCCCAGGCCCCGGTGTGGGTCAGTGATCTATGCCTGGGTGGGCTAGTCCATGTTAATAAAAAAAAAAAAAAAAAAAAAAGTTTTGCCCCACAAAAAAAAAACCTTTCGGTTTTCAGAGCTTTCCGGTTTTCGGAATTTTGGATAAAGGGTTGTCAACCTGTACTATTACCTTATTGTTGTAAAGTATAAGTACAATATTGTACTGTATTTCAATACAATCTGACTGTTTACAGAATTCCATAAGTTATATGGTTTTCCAAATAAGTTAAAGCTGTGAACATGGCTTGTCAGAGATCATCAAAGTCTCTGAAGATCGTTCTAAGTAAAAAAATGCACGAAGTCGACGCATGCTGCGTGCATACCGTGACTACAGAGATCAATTGTAGCAGCTTTTTGCACTGGTAATAGCCAATTCCAGCCTTCATTCTCTACACACACACAGAGCAGACGAGTTAAACAAACACTAGTAATCATGCTGTCACAGACATTCTCCCCAACATTTTCTTCTAAAATGTCCAAATAAATGCAGTAAATTTTTATATGAGAGAATAATGTATTAATGGTATAAAACAGATTGGTTGTGTCATGTTTGAGCACGATGATGTATGTGTTGAGAGTTTGGCATTATGTATGTGTGTTGGAGAAGGTTTGAGCACTATGTATGTGTTGGAGTAGTGTTTGAGTACTATATATGTGTTGGAGAAGTGTTTGAGCACTATGTATGTGTTAGAGAGTGTTTGAGCACAAGGCCCCCCCCCAATTTGCAGTTTTACTCAGGGTCTCTATTATGAGACACTCTGGATGTACCCAAGAATGTCTGTGGGTAGTTCTAAAGTTGCCAGCATTTATGCAGCTGGGACGGAGCCATTCGTTCTGGAGACAGTAATTTCCTTTACCTGTATTGTAAATATGTGTGTGTGTGTGTGTGTGTGTGTGTGTGGGTGTGGGGTGGGTGTGTGGGTGGTGTGTGTGTGTTTACACACATATATATACAATACAGTAAAAAGAAATAATTGTCCTAAGGGCAACACAAAATGAATATACATTTCTTTGTACACAAGTAAAAATGTATCCCCCCCACCCTCAGTCCGCAAATGTTATTCGCTGATTTGGCAATTCACAGCCATTTTGAGAACCTAACTCTGTGTGTGAATTTGGGGAGCCCTTGTACTGTAATGTGTGTTGGAGTACTTATTGTGTGTTGGTGTACAGTAGCCTCCGATGACAGCTGTGTTCCAGACCACTCAACTTTTCATATTTAAAACCTTGTAAGTTAATTTAGGACCCAATTCAATTTACGCCCTATTTCATCTCAGACTACATTTGCATCAAAATGTAATTCCAGATTCTCGACTCATTTACTTGGGTTAGGGGACTCAAATCCAGCCTAAGTCCGACATGCAGCCTCCACATAGACAAAAAAAAAAAAAAAAAAAAAAAATTTAATAAAAAATCTTCAATGAAATACAGTACAGTAAAAGTAATGAATAATGATGAATGGATACAGTACAGTGAAAGTAATAAATAATAAGGAATGGATACAGTGTGACTGAGCACTTACCCTTTAATGTAGTCAGCTGAATGCACATGGGGCCCCCATAATTTTCTAATTATACATGGAGACTACATTAACTGGAAACGTTTCGGTATAGAAAATGCGTGTGTCATTTAAATTTTTATTTTATTTATTTATTTTATTTTTTTATCTATATCTGAGGCGGTCGTAAGTCCCGACGGTCGTAAGTCCACGTAGTCGTAAGTCGGGGTCTAGGTGTATAATAAAAATAAAATTTAATTAAATTTTCATATAAATAATAACTAAATCCTGATATGTATTATAAAAAAAAAAATACTGTAAAAAAAAATGAAGAGCGCCTTGCGCAAAGAAATTGCCTTGCTAATGAGTAGTAAACAACAGTCAGAGCTTGGCGGGCCTTTTGTTTTCACGCATCTGTCACAGGAACAAGAGAAAAACTTTCTCAGGTTTCTTACAGCATTTTTGCATCCCTATTCAACATAAACAAGAGAGCAACAGATGGTAGTGTTGTTTCAAAAGCTAACAGAAAGTGTAGAAGCTTAGCTGAGAAACTAGATGTGTTAAAATGATACGGAAAAGGTGAGAGGTCTGTGGATATTATATGGAGCAAGCAATGAACATATTTTCTGAAGTGGATCCATTAACAGAACAAAGCGTTAAAATTTAAATAAACGCAAATGACCTCTACATAAAGATGTATAATGAGAAAAGAAAGCAGCTGTGCAAGGTTCTTTCAACAGCTTTATTATTCGAAGGCCTAAGCCGTCAACTTCAGCTACACCATCAAATTCAGCATCATAAGCAGCTTCAACAACAACTTCAGGTTCAGTATTTTCAGCAACAGCTTTATGGAAAGCTACAGCTTCAGCCAGAGTTAAACCTACATCTTCAGCCAGAGTTAAACCTGATGACTTCGTCATCTGAGTAAAAACTCGCACAATATTCATTGGCTGTCCTTATGTTTTAGACTTTACCACCATTGGTGAGTAGAATTTTTGTTTTACATATGTAACTAATATTTAAAACATATATGAACAGTAAATAAATGTTGCTTTCATATTCATATGTAGAGAAATGACGATATGTTTTCACATGTACTCACTTACTGTTCAAACCTTTGGCGTTCCCAATTGTCTCGCTTTATTTCTTTACCATTAGTGGTTAGCTACTTATAGTGTTCCATTTATTAACATTAAATAACATTACTTAAAACATACATCCAGGTATTCAATTTCTTAAAATTAAGTTCAAAGATTAATTCAATCAAATACATATTCAGTAATAAACAATAATGAATCTTTTGTACATGTTCTTAAAAAGATAAATGATGTGGTATCCTTAAATGCGTACGTATATGTTGGTGTTCCCAATCCATTTCTTTTTTTTTCTTTGCCATTAGTGGTTAGCTACTTCAATTGTTCCATTTATTAACATTAAATAACGTTACTAAAAGCATATATTAATTTTTTTACATTAATTTTACTACAGCTACAACCAGGGTCTTAGTTTCTTAATTTTCTCGTGAGAACTATCGTCCTGGTCACCCGGCTGTAAACACAAACGAAAACAATGGCGTCTCATCTCCTCTTGTGTGACCATATTATTACTCATTTATATTGTTTAAGGTGCAGTCAGAAACATTATTTAAAGAATATAGTTTGCAATTTTCATTAATTGTATTGTTTTCGGGGGGGAAAAGAGGGTAAAAAGCCACACAAAAGATATGAAAAGGTCACACTTGGGAATGCATCTCATTTTTATTGCTTTATTTTAATGGTAATTCATGATTCGCGATACGATGATTCAACTTACACTGCAATATATGAGGACCCATTACCGTCGTTATTCAAGGCTTTACTGTACTATGTGTGTTTGAATACTTAGTGCGTGTAGGAATTCTTAGTGTGTGTTGGAGTTCTACTGCATGTGTGTTGGAGTTCTACTTCATGTGTGTTGGAGTTCTACTGCATGTGTGTTGGAGTTCTACTTCATGTGTGTTGGAGTTCTACTGCATGTGTGTTGGAGTACTTAGCGTGTGTTGGAGTTCTTATTGTGTGTTGGGAGTACTGTATATGTTTGAGTACAGTGACCCCTCGTTTAACGAACGCCTCGGTTAACGAAATTTCGGTTAACGAACTGCCTTCCATATGGATCTTCAATTCGGTTAACGAACAAAAATTCGGTTAACGAATTTCTTACGAACCGACCTCAACATGTTTTTGCTTGCACTGACCGGGCAACCAGCTTTAGTATCAGTCCGCCAATACATTAATTGGTTCTAGGGCTTAAATTCCTTACTATTTTAGTAAATATCAAGAAGTTTATACTATTCAATAATTTTAAAAGTTTAATATTCAATTTTTTAGTCATTTTAACAATTATTGAACATAATTGAAGGTAAAGTGACTAGTTTAATGCGCGGCATCCAGCCTCTTAACACAGCAAACAGGCGTTAGTCTCTCTCTGTTTTCACTGGAGGTAACATCTTGCTTGAGACTCTCTTCAACTAAACGCTTTTTTTCTGTGATTCCAAGCAAATTATTGGTCATTTTGAAATATATTTTACATATTGACAATATATAATGCAGTGCAGTGTTGATTTAAAGAAAATAATCTTGACTTCCACCAAGAGAACTAAAATTTTATGGGTGAAATGGTGCCATGGGGTGACTTCTCTTCCACCCCAATGCCTTCTCTTCTTCCTTCTCCTCCACCCCCATTGTAATTCCCATCATCATCATCCAGGAGCCTTCTACATACACACCTCAAAGTAAGTGAACTTTTCTACCATTTTTGTTGAATTTAGGAAATTTTCGGTGAGCTGGAACCAATTACCCAAAAACCCATTGAAACAATGGTTTCGGTTAACGAACTTTTCGGTTAACGAACGACCTTCTGGAACGGATTGAGTTCGTTAACCGAGGGGTCACTGTATTTAGTATGTGTTGGAGTACCTATTGTGTTGGAGTACTGTGTGTTGAAGTACCTTTGTGTGAGAATACTGTGCATTGTGTTGTACAGTACACTCTCAATTTAATGGAATCTGATATAAAGAACTCTCGACTTAGCAGAAGGAATTTTTTCCATTATTTTTCGCTAGATTTAGTGGATTAGTTTGCTAAATTAACATTAATTCCATATATCTGCTCACACCTATGGAGACACCTCAGACACATGATATGTACATAGAAACATGAGAAACATTAACGGCTTACTAAAAACTAGGGGGTTTGGTGATTGTTTTAAATTTTTTCTATTTCCAAACTTTTTTCTAATTGATAGCCACACTCTTTTGACTTTCTCCCCCACACCACTTCCTTGCTGAGACTTCTGAGAGACTTTTGGCATTATGTCTAAGCACATTAGTTAGTTGACTGAGGTACACGGAGAGGTAGCAGTGAACAACACATGTGGTGGCAGCAGGACACAGACTGAGCGAATGTAAACAAACCCCATGCGCCAAGCCGTGGAATTTAATGGAATCACACTTGATTTAGTGAACTAGTTTGTCAAATCAAGCAAAAATAACGGAAATTTGATTTTGCGGAAATTGTGATTTTACTGAAAGGGGTGGCTCAAATTAGCTTGTTAAATGAAGAAAATATGGTAGTACTATGTGTGTTGAGGTACTATATATGCATGAGAATAACTGTGCATTGTGTTATGTGTTGCAGATTTGATACAGTGCGCCTTTGCCAGCAGAGGTGTAAGAAGAATCAAGCGGTACTAACCACAGCATATCCTGATACCTACCCAGAGGTAGATGAACTGGTAGTTGAAGGTAAGATATTGCTACATCCATGAAACCATATTTCAAATTAATTAATGAAAGTAAGTAATAATAGACATTTTAGTTTATACTCTTTCTTTCTGCATTACATTACAAAAAAGAATTCATAGTTTGGTAAAAGTAGATTTATATAGTAGAACCTCGATACATCAGACCACTGTCAGAAAAAAACGAATCTATGGCTTAGGAGGGTGGGGGGGGCAGAGATAGCATAAGAACAGAAAATATAGAGTCTGCAATAGGCCGGTTGGCCTGGCAGCTCCTGTCGAGAGTTACTACCACTCTCTATCATCCATGAATCTATCTAGCCCCCTTTTAAAACTTTCCAGCGTTCCAGCACTTATTAAAAAGTTGTTAAGCTTGGGGACGCTGTGACGTTCCGCGAGTAAGGGCAGCGTGCTGAGCCGAGAGAGTGTAGCGCAGCCAGACGAGAGCGGGTGATGCGCTACAGAAAGTAGTCCGTGACCACACAAAACGACGTAGTATCGGATCACCAGGAAATTAAACGAATTTTTGGTCTCTAAAGTTTAGCGACGTAATACCGAAACAACATTAAGCGTGACGACGTTATACGAGGATGCACCGTACATGTGAAGGCACGACTCAGATTGAGACTGAGAATCTTGAGACAGTGAGACACGTGCCACACAACAACCACACACAGACATGCAACCACATGTACGAATACACAAACCGTGCAGGCTGATGCTCGATTTTCCAGACCTTTTAAAATATTTCTGGTGAATAAAGGAGCGGTCCAGAGCACCTCAGAAAGTTCCAAAAAAGCAAATTGCGAAATATTGAAGTCCAATTTATCGAGGTTTTACTGTACTTCCTTAAATTGATTATTCACATGCTATCCTATTCTTTTCTTCAACTCACCTCAGCTGCTGAGACTTTTGAGGATGGCTCTAAGGACTTTAAAGGTAATTTTTGTGACTAGGAACATAAAAGTCATTTTTATCATAGGAACCATTCACTTCCAATCTTCATAATTTACAGTTTTCTGGGTATCTTGGAACATTACCCCACACATTAGGCAAGAATATATGTCTGTGAATAGAGTATGGTTATGGTGCTTAGAGTAGCTACTTTAACTTTTTATTGTGAATTAGAAATGGAAGGATTACAAATATGGTGATAGAAAAATGTGTTTTCATGTAGCATTTAAAATAAATCACTTGTATTTTTTCCAGAACCTTGTAAACAACCAGTGGACCCTGGACCATGTAGAGCAGCCATTCCATCCTGGTACTTTGACCCTGAACAAGAACGCTGCATTGGCTTCTCATATGGAGGCTGTGAAGGCAATGCCAATAGATTCCAGTCTGTTGAGTTTTGTGAGCGCCAGTGTGGCAAGTACCGTCGTGAAGGTAAGATTTTAAATCCTAACTGAAGAGGTGATGTGCAGAAGAGAAGGAATATAGTAGAGATAGGTTAGAGTGAAGGACTGCTAGAGTGTTCATGTGAGAAACAGTAGTACATATTTATATATGAAAGGTAAAGTTGTGCTTGAACTAAACATTACATGAAAGGAATTTGCAAGTCTTTGAAAAATGCATGCATTATTAATATATTGCATGAATTAATTAGAAGATGCATGCAAAAACAAGCACTTAACAAGATATGTGATTAATGAGTAGATAGTTCAGTTATTTAAAGTGAATATATTTAAATCTATTAATTTGCATTTTTTACTTCGCATGGATTGTTGCAGATGTGTGTAAGATGCCACAAAATTCAGGACCTTGTGATGGATCATTTCGTAAATGGTACCATGACCCCTATGTGCGTCGATGTAAGCCTTTCTTGTACAGTGGCTGTGAAGGAAATGGGAACCGCTTCTCTACAGAGAATGAGTGTGAGGCAGAATGTATCTACCATGATACAATTCCGCTTTTTGGCAATAACACCCAAGAAGCTAAGATCAGTAAGAGTTCTTGAACTCATTTAAGTTTTGCTACTTTCTATTTATTTTTGATCATAGAATTTATTGTGTGATTAATTGTAACCTGACACAAAAAATAATCAGCTATTTATTTTACCAGAACCCCAATGACTCAAGTACAGTATACTTAGATTTTTTCTCAAGTGATTTTTTTTTTTAAATCCTTACATTCATGTACAGTAGATCAAAGTAGTTAGTGCAGCCTCTAGATTGAGTTCTATCTAGTATTGTCCAAAAATTCCTCATGGCTCTAGTGCGTCACAATATAATATCGAAGGCAAGATTTATGATTTACGGTGACCCCTCGTTTAACGAACGCCTCGGTTAACGAAATTTCGGTTAACGAACTGCCTTCCATAAGGATCTTCAATTCGGTTAACGAACAAAAATTCGGTTAACGAATTTCTTACGAACCGACCTCAACATGTTTTCGCTTGCACTGACCGGGCAACCAGCTTTATTATCAGTCCGCCAATACATTAATTGGTTCTAGGGCTTAAATTCCTTACTATTTTAGTAAATATCAAGAAGTTTATACTATTCAATAATTTTAAAAGTTTAATATTCAATTTTTTAGTCATTTTAACAATTATTGAACATAATTGAAGCTAAAGTGACTAGTTTAATGCGCGGCATCCAGTCTCTTAACACAGCAAACAGGCGTTAGTCTCTCTCTGTTTTCACTGGAGGTAACATCTTGCTTGAGACTGTCTTCAACTAAACGCTTTTTTTCTGTGTTTCCAAGCAAATTATTGGTCATTTTGAAATATATTTTACATATTGACAATATATAATGCAGTGCAGTGTTTATTTAAAGAAAATAATCTTGAAATACACCAAGAGAACTAAAATTTTATGGGTGAAATAGTGCCATGGGGTGACTTCTCTTCCACCCCAATGCCTTCTCTTCCTCCTTCTCCTCCACCCCCATTCTAATTCCCATCATCATCATCATCATCATCCAGGAGCCTTCTACATACACACCTCAAAGTAAGTGAACTTTTCTACCATTTTTGTTGAATTTAGGCAATTTTCGGTGAGCTGGAACCAATTACCCAAAAACCCATTGAAACAATGGTTTCGGTTAACGAACTTTTCGGTTATCGAACGACCTTCTGGAACGGATTGAGTTCGTTAACCGAGGGGTCACTGTACAAAAATAATTTGCAAAATAGAGTAACATATTGGTTTTTGCATGAGATGCTCCAGTAGTAACATCTTTAGCATAAGATACTGGTACATTATTTTTGTTTCTGTTTTCTCTCATATAGTTTCATAAAAAAGAAATTTCTTAGATTTGATGTTACAGTAAATACTAATAAGACGCTTTGCACCATCCTCGGATGCAAAAAAAAAAAAAAAAAAAAATATATATATATATATATATATATATATATATATATATATATATATATATATATATATATATATATATATATATATATATATATATATATATATATATATATATATATATATATATATATATATATATATATATATATATATATATATATATATATATATATATATATACAGTGAACCCTCACTTTATGCGGTCAATTGAACCCACGGAGGCCCTCGTAAAGTGAGAAACGCGTAAAGTGAACAACATAACATATGAGATTAAATGAAATAGAGACCGGCTGACCCCCAAACTCCACTTTTTCCGACACAATATCTATGTTCTAGTAAAAATAACATCTTAATTTTATGATGGTACATGCACACAATTAATATTTCATAGAAATAGAGAAATACAGTCGCCAAGTTAATGTCCATTCAAATAATGGACTCAACCCCCTCCCCCCTCTTCTCACACTCGCTGGCTCTTCCCTCTCTAAGAAATGTTTGGGGGAAAACCACTAGATTTTAAGTTATAGTAATAAATAATACCTGAAACTAAAGTTAGGATAATATAATTGACATTGCTGGATTCCTTGTAAGACCAGGAATATTTTGAATATAAATGTCATATATTTTGCACAAAAGATAACATATTTACTCAGAGTAAACAAAATACTTACATTAGATCTAAAATTTGTATGTCTAATGCAAAATCTTTGATGTTTATATTCAGAATGATCATCAAATTGTAAGAATTCCAGTAATGTAAATTATATTCTGGCCCGGTAATTTGTATGAATTTTATGAGCTAAAACAAATATCATCAATAAATAAACACAATATACTTACCCAAATACTATCTGTCAATCAAAATACCCCACCTCCCCCCCCTCTTCCCACCTGCTCCCTGGGCCCCTCCCTCCCTCCCTACCCCTCACCCCCACCTTCCCTCCCTACCAGAGAAATGATTGGGTTATAACAGTATATTTACATTTTTAGTACTGTAATAAATAATACCTCAAACTAAAGTTAGGATAATACAATTGACATTGCTGGATTCCTTGTAAGACCAGGAATATTTTGAATATAAATGTCATATATTTTGCACAAAAGATAACATATTTACTCAGAGTAAACATTATATCTAAAAATTTTATGTCTAATGCAAAATATATGATGTTTATATTCAAAATGATCATCAAATTGTAAGAATTCCAGCAATGTAAATTATATTCTGGCCGGGTAATTTGTATGGATTTTATGAGCTAAAATAAAAATCTTCAGTTAATAAAAAAAAAAATATTCTTCACACGGTAACAGATGGTCGGTCGCCGGTCCCTCCCAACCCCCCCACCCCCCACCAACCGTCCCTACTAGATAAATGTGTGGGAATACCAGACTGTTTACCTTTTTAGTAATAAATAATAAATCAGACTAAAGTTAGGATAATATAATTGACATTGCTGGATTCCTTGTAAGACCAGGAATATTTTGAATATAAATGTCATATATTTTGCACAAAAGATAACATATTTACTCAGAGTAAACATTATATCTAAAATTTGTATGTCTAATGCAAAATCTATGATGTTTATATTCAAAAGGATCATCAAATTGTAAGAATTCCAGCAATGTAAATTATATTCTGGCCGGATAATTTGTATGAATTTTATGAGCTAATTAAAAAAAATAATACTTCACCCGTGTAAAGGGGTACACCCACCGCGGATTGTAAGCATCCTGGGTTCTGGCAGGGCACCGCGTAAACGTGGAAACGCGGAATGTGGGACCGCGTAAAGTGAGGGTTGACTGTATATATATATATATATATATATATATATATATATATATATATATATATATATATATATATATATATATATATATATATATATATATATATATTATATATATATATATATATATATATATATATATATATATATATATATATATATATATATATATATATATATATATATATATATATATATATATATATATATATGCTATCAGGGGTGAATACAGACTAGTCTGTACTCACCCCTGAAGATGTGAATTACACGAAAGCGCTTGGGAACTTCGTGTTTTCTTCTTTCCTTGTGGTTATCAGCATATACCTAGATCACACGCACCTACAGTGATTTACTTGCATATATATATGTGTAACTTCAGAAAAAATAATTCTTAATTTTTGGTGTTATAGATTTGTAAAAAAATAGTTAATGGATCATGGAAATGCAAGACCACCTAACTAGGTAATTTTTGGACTGCTACATAAATAGTTTCTAGAGTGTGTAAATATAGTGAAAATACCAGTACCTGTACTTACCAGAAGTGGATCAGTTCATCCCAGTACCACCCCAATGAAAAAAACAATTGTGAAATAACATTGAAAACACGAAAATGGGCAGAGGGTAGTGAGGAGGGATCAGGGAAGACAGGGGGATAAGTGGTGGTTAGTGAGGAAGGGTCATGGGAGGCGGGAGGACGAGCTGAGGTGGAGCAGTGTTTGCAACATCACAGTCATGAAGTTACTGAGGGACAAGGGGAGGAGAGAGGTGTACCCTAGTGAGGCCCATAGTTACCACAAATAAATTTTCCCCATTTTAGTAGCCACGAGGTTGTATATTCCTGACAAAATACCAGCACACAATTTGAAAACAAAATCAGGATCCACCCCACATCGATTGCTGGGGTTAGTACCCTACTGGGAACACATCGATCAATGGGCTTAGTACTTTAAGGGTTAAACTTGCTTAGAGGGTTGCTATCCAACCAGGAGATAAAGCAATATACAGTACAGGGTAATTTGTTAAGAATTCAGTTTTTAAGCAACCTTGTATTATTATTTATTTTCTATATATTTATTTTAATTTTTTTTTTATTATTCATAAGTAAGTCATTGATTCTGTAGATATACAATACTAAAGGTAGTGTCTTTCTATAATCCCTTTTGGACTAGCAGATTCTAAGCAGGTTCCAGGTTTCTCAATACTAGTATATTATGCATACCTGCAGATGGGAATGTTATGCATTTTGTGCCAGTGCCATGGAGTGTCTATGATCTAAGCAGCTCAATCCCTTCATAAACTAACCTTGCATGTTTTTTACTTTAACCATTTTGGTCCTGCAATGCCACTGTGTTTGCACCCTCTCAGGTATGCAAGAAATGTTAGGTTTGTTGTGGTTCAGCAGCTATTGTGGCCACACTCTTAACTGTCACTGCTCTCCCTATACAGTATTTATATATATTGTCTATTTTAGACTACAGAAGGGCGACATGTGACTAAGCAGAGTTTACAAGAATCTCAATGGTCATTACTCAGTCAAACGTTCACAATTATTTGGTGTCAGCAGATGGCCACCCAACTAGAGGTTACAACCTCAAGTTAAAAAAAAAGCTATCAATACAGAAAACTACCACAGCTAATTTCTTTGGATTAAGAGACCCCTAGAATTACATACCAGAGAGTGTTGGGACAGTACCAAGTGTGTTCTTAAAGTCTAGACTTGACCAACATTGACACTTGTTGAACTATATTCAAGAGCCTTTTGCATATCCAGTACTTACCAACAGTGTGTAACAGAAGTGATCAACTGCCCAACCAAGTAACCTGTCAAGTGGGAAAGTGGTTGAAGTAAAGTAGAATGTAAAGTACAGTACTCTACCAATACACCCAATACACCGAAAAGATAGTTATGTGGCTTCCTATAAAACATGAGGTAAATCTTATTTGCACATCCTTGAGAGGTCATTCAAATTATGGTAGATCAGGTTTGCAGTACTGAAGTGGTTGGTAATTAAGGCAGTCACAAAGCTACTGTATATAATAATTATTACTGAAATATCAACTTTAATTTCTTTCATAGACTTGTGTATGGATTTTTTGTGTTAATACTCTTGCCTAAGCATTATGTAGCCATTGAATAGTGCTTTGACATCCAGTGAATGTTTATGAGATAGAAATAATTATAATCTACAGCTTTTAACAAATGCTTTGATAACTGCAGTATTGTTCATGCATAATGTTTTTAGTTTAATTTGGTATCTTCTTTAGTATACAATGAGGCTATGAATTAACCATCTCTTCCCTTACTAGTGATATGTGAAATGGATGCAGATGCTGGGCTATGTACAGAAGGCTACAAGCGGTGGCATTTCAGCAAAGAGCAGGGCTCTTGTATTGCATTTAGGTATGGCGGGTGTGGTGGAAATCGAAATCGCTTTAAGCAATTTAATGCTTGCACCAAGTTCTGTGCTACTGCCATCGAAAAATACCATGGATGTAAGTCTTAGTGTCAATAGTACTGCAGCCTTCATATTTTGCTTGGAGTTAGTGTAGGGAGAGTTTTTTTGTTTTTTATATTTTTTTATATGTCTTTTTTTGTATTTTTTCTTATTCTATTTTTTCCATATTATTTTTCTATATGTTCTTTACTTATTTTACTTATTATCTTTATGGTAGTTTTTCTTTTATTTCTAATTGTTTCTAAGTTTTATTTTCTAATTCAATTTCTCAGTATTTTTGTTTTCTGTTATATTTCTCGTAATTGCTTGTCCCCTATCTATTTATATTCTGATCTTGGGCTTACCTGGGAAACCCCCTGTTACTTTACAATCTTCAATACTCACGGTAGCTGCCACCACCCAGGTTTTTCTATCAGAATATGCTGTACAACATAACATTAATCTCTTATCCATGTGGTAGTAACATGACACTTGGGTGGTAGTAACGTGGCAAAGGCTAGGCTCGTGGGTTCTGTTGTATACAGTGCCACAACTTATGGATACTGCAGTAGTAATGAAAGCACAAAAACATTAAGATTATTTATTGCAATGAAGTTGAGTATAGGAACACTTTAACAGAACACAAACACATAACTACCTCTTGGGGTTCACTCAAAACTTGGCCAAATTTACATTAACACTGGTGCAACTTATAAGTACCACTTGGCCTTACCTCCAGGTTAATACCAACAATTTTTAAATTTAATAGAAGCAATGTTCAGTAGAAGCTACATATTACAACTCACTGTAACATTCTACAACTGTGACACAAAAATAAGGAGTCTTCACCACTTGAATTCATTACAACTTGTACTAATACTTTATATCACTCTTAAAACCCTTCACAAGGCTGATTTTTGTGTACGGTAATTATTATTACTCTCAGTACTGGGGATACAAGTTACTTTGGCACACACACTTATCACAACTCCATAACACAACCTCACCTCTCGTTACTTTTTCAATGTTATACCTTTTAACACTCTTTACAACACAGGACACTTCGGTGTTTATATTTTCAGTGAGAATAATATACCTCAGACTGATACATACAGGATGAATTACCATTGGTCTTATGCCAGCTTGGATCCAAACATTGCTGTTCGTTCACCTTTCAGTGAATCCGCAGCAGAGCTCTCACTTTGGAGCTGAATTCAGGCTTCGGTCTGTACACCGTACACTGCCACACCCTTGGGTCTCAGACTCAGTCCTGGTTTACTCAATACATCCTGCCTGCACTGGTCACCAACTCCCAGTAGCCCCAGCAACACATGCAGTACCTGTTATACAGAGAATAAAGCGCTCAAAGTCATATATATACAGTATATAAAGTTGAAATACAAATGTCACACAATTCGTCTTGTGCAAGTAAATGAATGTAACATGAACACTGAACACATAATAAGACGTTCAATTACATTAAAACATGAACACTGATATTTTCAACAAAGTTCAACTAAGTCACTAAATTTGCTTAAAATGACGTTGTCAGACACTGAATAACACTTATTATACATTAAATATGGTGTTCAAAGTGCTCTCTATTGGCTAGTAGAGTAAAACAGTTGTATTACATAAAATATTTATTTGTAGGTCACGCAATCTTTTCCAACACCTACATATACATTCTTTCATTACTTATGAAATTTAACTTTTTTATGGTCACACAACTTTATATAAAAATTATTCCAGCTTTTGAAATTTATTCCTGTATTTTATGTGAAGGATTATCTCACTGAGAGAAGTAGCATCTGATAATAGACAGCAGGTTCTTAAATCTTTCATGCTGATGCCAACTTAGTGTTTTGTGGACCAACACTACAACTACACATAGATCATGTATTAATCACAGAACAGTTTGTGAGTACAGTAGAACGTCGATTTAAAGCGATTCAATTTAAGATGATGGATTTTAAGCAACACCCACAATTAAGGACAACGTTTTAATTTAAAGCGAATCTTTCCTATTTTGCGCGAGACCATCTGGCGCATCATATTTTAAAATCCGTGCCTAATGTTTCTCTGGGTACGCTACACTGTCCTAAGGGCAAAGCTGTACTGTACATGTACTCAAAATAATGTACTAAATGATTACTAAAATTTTTGTCTCGTGCAAACTATAGCATGATTATATTAAAATTAATCACTATCTTATAAGAATTCCAGCAACGTAAATTATATTCTCCCTGGTCACTTCTGTGACATTTTATAAACAAAAAGCAAAAACTTAATCTAAAGGACATAAATAAACAAATAAATACTTCACTAGACCTTTTTTTTTTCTCATTTTTATGGGGATTAGCCCACCCAGGCACAGGTCACTGACCCACATCGGGGCCTGGGGGGCGGAAATGTAATAATAATAATAATAATATTAATAATATTAATTATAATAATAATAATAATAATTCAGATAAGTAAAATTAAAAAAATAATAATAATTAAATAAAAATAATAAAATAAAATTGCTAATAATAATAATAATAATAATAATAATAATAATAATAATAATAATAATAATAATAATAATAATAATAATAATAACACTGCAATAATAATAAAGAACCACAAAGAAAAAAAATAAAATAAAATGTGAGAAACAATATATGTATGTTGTGTTGTCAATGGTAAGAGAAACAATTGAGACCCTGCAATTGTGTGTAAATGAGGCAGAAAGTCAGATCAGCAACCTGGGACTTGGTCACAATTTTTGTGATGCCATATGGCAGCAGGGTCTACCATTAGACAACACATATCTTGCCAGGCAGTAGTACCTTCCCTTCCTCCCTCCCTCCCTCCCCCCTCCCAGCCAGGGTTTGGTGGTTATACAGTAAATAGGGTTTATGTTTTTTATCTTATATGATATCACAGACTAAAGTTAGGAGAATATAGTTTGCATTGCTATAATCCTTGCAAGACAGCGAATAATTTGAATATAAACGTCATATATTTTGCATAAAAGATAAAATTTTTAGCCATTTGCAATTAGAACTAAAATTTGTATATCTAATGCGAACTATACCATGTTTGTATTCAAATTAATCACTATTTTATAAGAATTCCAGCAATGTTAATTATATTCTCCCAGGTCAGTTTAGTGATATTTTATAAGAGAAAAACTTAAAGTCACTCTTAAGGACAGATAAATAAATAAGCACTAGACCTTGGCATCAACTGTCAAACATATCACCTCACCTCCCACCCTCCCCCCCATCTTCCCAGCCAGTAAACAGACCATTTTGCATCCCTTAATTTTAGCTGTGTTGATTTATGAGTGTTTGTTTTAACATAATACTACAAAAAACAATGTTTTGTTTATTCTAGGATATGGGCTGAGGTGCATCTGGGTAGACTCTCAGTCTTTTTAGTATTTTGTTTCTCTCAAGTACCAAACTAAATTATTCCATTGAAACAACACTTCGATTTAGTGCGAATTCGGTTTAAAGCGACCTCTCTTGGAATGTATCTCACGTTATATCGACGTTCTACTGTGCAGTAATTCCTATTCGTGCTTCTCTATTTTTCATCTTCCCTTCTTACACTGATAAAATTTTAACCATTACCATATCAGTAGGATCTCAAGTTTAGCGAGTTTTAGATTTGAGATTCAAATGTTTTGTGTCACTTTTAAAATTTCCAGCTTCTGAAGAATAGCGATTTTCATTACCGGTTTGGTGAGTCAGTGGAGAGTGGGTAGCGTGCATTGTCACAGTCCTTTGTTATCCGCCATGTTTTTTGTTTACTGCAGTTAGTTTGAATGAGCAAGAGCGAGCAGTGCAGTGACCTTGGATTATATAACCCATTGTGCTTATGTTTCGTGAGATTCTTGTGTAACCATTAATGATTCTTGTGCGTTAATGATTCTTGTGTATTAACGATGAGTGAGGTGCATAATGTAAATGTTGGGAGTGGTTCTGGTGGTAATGATGGCCATAGAGGTCAACAAGGAAACCCTTGAAATGAAACGAGAGATGCTTGTGATGATCAAAAGTGGTGCTCATACCTGTAAAATCATGCGTAGGTTCAACTGCCCCGAATCAACCATGCGTTTCCTTAAGAAAAACAAGGAAGTCTTAACTCCTTCTGTGAATGTATTCTCAAGATTTTCAAGTAACAGGACGTTCTCCGATACTTCACAACGAAACTTACTGCTTGTTATCACAGAACATTACCTTCACAAGTGGGTGGAAAGAAGAAACCATAAGCAGGGTGGCCTGTCTGGGCCACACATAAGGCATCAAGCACATGTTTATTACACTGCAGTTGCACAGAAGAAGTGCATTAACTCTCCACCACCATTCAAAGCTTCTGTTGGTTGGTTGGCAGCTTTTAAGAAGCCTTATGAAGTCAAGTTTGCCCACTACCATGGGGAGAGTGCATCGGCTGATGTCATAGCAGCAGAAAAATATCCACCTGTTTTTCAAGCTCTTGTGAAAGAGGGTGGTTATTGCTGAGGCCAGATCTTCAATTGTGATAAAACTGGCATTTTCTGGAAGCGCTCACCTAAGACCACTTTCATTGCTAAGGATGAAAAACAGGCAAGGGGTGTAAAGACTTCAAAGGACATGATTACTGTTTTATTCACAGCTAATGCAAGTGGAGAGTTCTTGATGTAACCACTGGTTGTTATCTGTGCTGCCCGTCCTAGAACCTATCATCAGGCCAATATGTCGCAGCATAATGTTTATTGAACATCTAATAAAAAAGATTGGGTTACAACATCTTAATGCACCAATTGGTTTGACAAGCACTTTGTTCCTGACGCCCAACAGTACTGCCGGAGGAAGAACATTGATTTCAAAGTGTTCCTGGTGGTGGATAATTCTCCTGGACACTCTTTATGTACAAGTTATCTTCCTTCCTCCTAACACCACATCGCTTCTGCAGCCACTTGCCAAGAATTCATCAGTAACATTAAACTGTTCTACTATCAGTCACTCTATAAAGACTTTCGTCAGCAGACAGACTCATGAGTTGAGTTACAACAAATCGAGGCAGTACTCTGACAGTGACCAGGCTCTACCAGCACCAGCTAACCAGAAGGAGGAGGAGATGGTAGATGACCCGACTCCTAGCACCTCACACGCACCACCCCGCAACCATGAAGTGTTATCAGTTTGTGATTTTTGGAAGAAATATAATACAGTAGATACTTGCCATTCTCGAATTCGACAATTCATGGCAAGCAGATGGTGGCAAGCTTACAAGCCTCTTCCCCCAGCACAATGAGTCACCCCACGCAGCATCTCGTATTATACTCTCAAAAGTTTAATGTTTTTGTGTGAAATGACCCCCTAAATGACTGCCTAGTGTCGGTGCTGGTGGAGTGAAATGTATAGGGCTGAAGTCAGGGGATGAGTGCTGCCGCGGCTGGACGGTTGTTTAGTATAGGTATACAGTAGTGCACAAAGATAATATAAGTTGCTATTCACGTGGTGTACATTAATATAATCTTTTTCTTTTCTATTTTTAATTTCTTTTTAATCATTTTTTCGCCCTTAGTCCCGTTGTGGGTCGATGACCTGTACCCGGGTGGGCTATTCCCCGTAAAAAAAAAAAAAAACCCTGGAAATTAACCCCCGCGAATAACTAGGGTTTACTGTACTGTATTAAAATGTAGTGGACAGAATTGTTGAGGCATGACATAAGATTAATGTTGCAACAGTGTTACATGAATGGAAGCCTTTGTTCGCTAACTCCAAGGTAAGTGGGGCAGAGCAGACCGGGGCAAACGAGAAGAGGCAGTCTGTGGCGGCAACAGTAATGGACACGGTCAAGGCAGCATGATCAGTCCCAGCACGGATTTTCGGATGTTCAGATTGAAGATTTGCAAGAAATCATTGGTCAACATCAGCAGCAACTGACAATTGAAGAAATGTTAGAGGAGGATGAAGAACAAGAAGAACCGCAAGCAACACGAGAGGATGACGTAAAGTCTGGTGAACCCACAACATGCCAACTGACTGAGATGCTCACTACCATTGCATGTCTCAGTGAACAGCTAGAAGAATACAATACCAGGCCTCATGCTCAGAACTATATCTGCCCTGTCATTGATAAGGTTTTGGAGGAATATAAGGCTTTGTACAAGTCCCGTGTTAATGCTTATCAGCGGGCCCTTATTACTCGGTACCTGCACAAGGCCCAGCCTGTTATTACTGCCTTGGCAAACATCACTTTAGAAGATGATGATGGCACCACCTATAATGTTATTGAAATGTTGGGTGACTTGCTGGTGGAAGAGCTACCTCAAGACTTTGAGGGATTTGATGCTTAGGTTAGAGGAGGTGTACAGTAGATGAGGGCGCAGGGAAGAAGCAGTAACCAGCCCTCCCTGTCTCCGAACCCATCAACCAGCCCCATCAGGTATTTCACTGACACCATCAAGATAATATATTCTACACTAATCAGGATCTTATAAAAGGAAAGTCAAGAACCATGGGTTTCCAAGGTGTAACAAACAACCGTTAGAGATTGACATCTCTTTACGGTACTACGAAAATAATCACAATAATTGACACCACTCACACAAATATTAAATAAACAATTAAGGGAGTCAAACAATTAAGGGAGTCAAACAATTACGGGAGTCAAACAATTACGGGAGTCAAACAATTACGGGAGTCAAACAAAGTACAGATATTTCCTCCGGCTGCAGATGAATACCCTAACCAGCCCGGTGGAATGTTCATTTAACGCGGTGGTCCTCTCTCGGGGAAGGTCCAGGGCAGCTTCCTCACTTGGCGTCGGTGTTGGTGGGCGATGTCTTGCCACACAGGAAGAGACGCCAGGCCACGGACAGTGCATAGGGCGTGGAGGAAGTGGCGATGACGTGGCAGCCACAGTAGTAGTTGGAGTAGGTGTCTGGAGATTGACAGCTGAATAGTGAAAGACTGGGGAATCAGTCCATGAGCCCCAGGAGCCTCAGATGAGTACACAACCAGAGTTGAAATTGAACAGCGGGGGAAGTCCAGCTGTGACGCTGGCTGGCTAATGTCTGATGTGCAACGAGGCGGCAGTGACCTTCTCACTCTGTCTACCCCCACCTAGTGGAGCCACGAACAAGCAAACCAGCGGCGGACAACCATCCCGCTCGTTACCGCCCTTACATACAGTATAATATGTATGAATACATTACAGTAATGTAATTTTCTGGGTGGGTTGTAGGTCATTATAGGGGGGTTTGGGTGACACCACAGAACTGATTAGGCTTTTTTACATGTATTTCAACATCACTCATTTCGCGATTTTAAATTTCACAACGCTAAAACCAGTACCAATTAGTCGTGAAACTTGAGATCCTACCATAATGCTTTATAAAACCACTTTGAGGGAACATTGCATGGAAACATCAGTACTGTACTATACTTACAGATACTGTATAAAAGTTTGGTTTATGCAGTAATAAAATTACCACCTCTGTTAGATATTTAACTAATTTGAGATTTGCTTATTTATTTGCTTTTGTTAACAGTATTTTATTTGACAGCACCTTACTGCAGAATACAATGTGTAACTCTTTTTCCCAATTTTTGTGCTGTTACAATGTGTTAGGTAATGATATTGTATTTTATAAGTCATTAAAATGTGCTCTCACCTCCATAAATGTGCTCTCACCTCCATATGTTGTTTTAACAGTTGGGTCTACAACTACTGACCCACTGTCAACCCAGTCAGAGCCATCAGGCTTCACACAACCTGATCAGTGTAAGGACTCAATAATTGCCTGCCAGCTACTTCAGGTATGTAATTTATCACTTCACGTGTGTCCCACTTAACATAATACAATAGATGCATTAAAAAAAGTATTGAATTGAGTGTAAAAAATTCCCTTAAACTCCCAGTTTTCAAATTAAGATGTGTTCCAGGCATTTAATAATGATATACTACCGTGGATTTTGTTTTCACTTTTGATCTTTTTTATTTTTGTATTTATAGTTCTTTATTATTATTATTATTACAGCATAGTCTCGGTTTACGCGGTCAATTAAACCCGTGGATATAAAACCGAAAAACGCCAGAGTAAATGAAGTAACAGAATATATGGGAGTAATTGAATAGAGATCAATACCCACGGAGCAATACGTAATCGGTTCAAATGAT